TTGCCATCCACGGAAACCAACCCCTCGGGGGCTGCCCCACCTGACATCCAAGAAGCCCAATCCACCGAGGAAAGCCCTCCCCCCCGACATCCAAGGAACCCATCCTTCCAACGGGTGCCCCCCTGACATCCGAGGAATCCAACCCTCGAAGATAACCCCCAGGTATAGAAAGGTCCGGGCCATCTCCGCCACACTCGAAGTGCCCGCTAGGGCGCGGCTTACGTCAGTCATGTTAGAATATGTATGCGCACTATTTGCAAATCGGGTGAATGGACCACTAGACAAGGTACGAATTTCAGCATTCTGATACATGTTTCTTAACCAAAATTTCACGTAGAACACGATACGTACAACGAAAATTACCGAAACTAACTCCTTACGAAGATATTTATTGATTCTTGATGCGTGAATTCAAACCACCCGCTCTTGAAAACTCAATACTCTACGTGATTCAAATCGCGCGGTAAACGACAGTATCTGCGATATAAAAATCTGGCAACCCCGTTCGTTTCCGTAATTTTCGTTGCGCGAGTCGTGTTTTACGTGAAATTCAGGTTAAGAAATATTTATTAGAATCCTTTAAGTCGTACGTTGTCTAGTGGTCCATTGTGGCATTAGCTAAGATGCCTAAAATAGAAGTCAATTTGAAGTTTTTAACAAGGTGGAGTAATGGTGCTGGGTCCACACCATTTCGCGCGGAAACTATTTTTCCATCCTGTTACATGCAGTATCCGGGCCAATTTTTAGTGTTTTTTCTTTCTCATTTGAAGTTTTCACAGGTCTCGCTCAAATCGAAATTTTGAAACAATAAAGGAACAATAGTTTAATGAAGGGGGAACAAGCCAAGGCGCCGATATGCACTCGTTGGCTATGATATATGCCCAAATGAAAATAACCGGACCACCCCTAAGGGAGGAAATTAGGGACCTCTCTCAAACGAGGAAATCACTCTTTTGACCCTCGGGTGGGTTCTGCTAAACGCGGTCCACTTTGACTTCAGATCATCAAATTCTCCGGAATGAATTGTTGAAAATTAATTTGTTCACCACCTTGTTTTATCTTTTACTTCAGATGATATACAGACGATTTGAAGGCGCACGTTATTTAAGTAGTTCCTTGTTACTATAAGTATCTAGACAATATGATGCAGTTACTCTCATTTTGGTTGAATTTATCGTTATCGACGCAGTTAAATCAAAAGGAGCTATATTCGTTCTCACATGAGCCCTGAAATCCATATCAATACAAGCGCACAAGGAAGCATATGACATTGGATATAGTTCCTGCTGATTTAATTGCGTCCAATTAACAAAACGCATCCTTTATTTAAAGTGATCGAGAAAAAAAATGGACTTCAGTCGCCTGTATCATTAGTTTCCCTACACTTGTACGTGTTTTTACGGATGAGCCAGATATTTTAGTTTCCAAACGAAAAATGTTCAAATTATGGATGAAAGTGTAGAAAGTATATCTCACACAGTTATTTCACACATGGCCGGATTTACCTACTTGCCGCCCATGGGCCGCCTGTATTTTGCCGCCCTCTTCTCATTCATTTTGAAACATCAATAAAAACCATCAAAAGAACGTGCCGGAGGGAGAAGGGTGCTTAAGACGCGTTCACTCGTGTTGGGCACATTTTTTGCGTAAGCCCTGTCAACACTACCAGCAAAAGTTCACGGAACTTCGCGCGAAAGTTCAGTTCCGTAAACCTATCTCTGTGTGGAAAAGGCCTTTCATTTGTAGGAAATGAACTAAAAAATTAAGAAAGAACAAACATAAATGTGGTTTAATAATTTTAACTTCCGCCGCCGTGCCGCGCTGACTAAACTGTGTTTGGCGCAATGCGTGAAGTATTCATGTAGTCTTGTAGGCACTGTGCGTTTCACGCCGCGCCGACCGCTGTTGACCGTACTGTGTTTGACGCAATGCGTGAGGTATTCATGCAGTCTCGTAGGCGCTAATATGTGTTACATGCCGACCGCCGCGCCGAGGGCTTCTCCTTTCCATCTCAAGTCCTCGTCATAATTTTTCTCTGCGCCGCGCCGCTCCAGGCCAAATTACGTGTTTGGTTTCTTTCTTAACTCAACTAATTAAAGGTGCGCAGTCTTTTGTATCACCGAAATACGTCAAAATTAGAAATTAATGAACTCTCAGGAAATGAGAGATTTTGTCACTTTTTCTTGTTTGTAATTTTATTCTGAATCCGATTTTTTTGTACCTGCATTTAAAAAAAGTGCAAAATTTGCTGCCCTCTAATTTTGCCGCCATGGCAATGGCGGCATATGTGGCCACCCACCCCCTTAATCCGGCCCTGATTTCACACATCTCAGTTATTTTACTCATCGTAACGTCTTTAGCTGCGTTTATTTACCGTGCGTGCTCTAGTTCAACGATAAGGAGTTAAACGACAGCATTGATGGTTTTCAATAAAACAGTTCTTCTATGAGTCCTGCTCTGAGGTATAGCTTTCATTATTATTGCATGCAATTATATTCATTTCCATTTTACTGCTTTGATAAGACAATTTGAATTTTCTTTTTTTTTCAGATGATAAAGATCGGTCTTCCAATCACGATTTAAACGTAGATGAACAAATTGCCTTGCAAGGCAAACCCAGTTTAGGGGCTATTTCTAGGCTAGAGGTTACAATTACAGAAAGCAATGAATTTAAGGTACGTTCCATCATCATCCTATGTTTTTCTAGCATCAAGCACAATGAGATTCACGCAAAAAAAAGTCTCATATTTGACTAATCATCAAAATTACACCCTTACAAATCAACAAAATATCGAATATCGATCTGAAAATTCTGGTTGTCGAAAAAATATGCACCAATCCCAATGCTTTTGTATTAACTATGCTCAAATAGTTAACTAAATAACCTTTGGACCAACCAACGAAAAAAATTAATTGACATTAACTAAACAAAATCATTGTAAAATCAATTACAGAGGCAGTTTAGAGATATGTTTCGAAGGCACAATATGATGGTCATACAATCATAGCCCTATGTGAAGCAGTGGTGTTGCGCGCTTTGCGATATATAGATTGATCTGCCATTTAAAACTGTGGAAAGGGATCGATGAACAAGGTGTTCACAACAAACACCTCAATAATCGATTCCTTAACACAGATTCAAATGGGGAAATTGCTATAATCGATCATTCTTGCCTCCTTACTGATGTGATGTCATGACTCTGCATTAACCAGAGTATTTTCAGTTGAGAAGCCTGGAATTCATTACAGCACGCAGTTACCTTCATAGAGTCAAGCTGTTTGATGCAATATAATTGAACGTATTTATGCTAAAATGAACTATATATCACGGAAACCCTATGTTTATAGTTCCGTTTAGCATAAATACGTCCAATTGTAGTTACGTCCAATTAGAGAGCAAATCTGATGAAATTCGTCGGAACTTATTATACTCAACAGTTCACCACAGTTTTCTGAATCTCTGCTTCCACTGACGGAGAGGTCTCTGAGCTAAACCGAGTTTGAGCAAGTAGACGCGGCAAGCAGCGAACCAGCACGCCACCTAACTGAGCAATTATACTTTTAATTAAACGTGTCCAGTGTTGCATCAAACAGTATAATTGAACGGGCTATTTGAAGAGGGGCGTGACCATACGATTGTCCGAAATTGAGTTTTCGACGGAGCACTATTCTGCCTTGTAAAAAAAACGCCGTATAAGCCATCAGGCGTTGCCAAATATCCTTCGAAAAACAACGGATTTCCAGGAAAATTTGTGAATATTTCTCCTTCGATTTTTCAGAGAATTTTCTTCGAAATTCGATCTAAAATGTTTGAAAATTTCAAGGATAAATATTCATGACATTCCTAAAAAATATACATTTTATCGACGGAAATTTGGCAACTCCCGAATGTTCATACGGCATTCTTCCTTAGCACGGCAGTATTCTTTGCGAGTGGATGCATCTTGCTACAGAGTGATTCTAGAAAAATTGCTCTTTAAACGTTCATCTTTTTTAACATTTGAAGATCATTGCTTTGGGAGAAGGCGCAAAGGGCGCCCAATAAGAGGTTGGAGGGATGGGATTGAAGAAGAAATGTTAATTTGCTCGATATGTCCGAAGGGTTGTGGTTTGACAGGCTGTGGCAGTGGAGGTTACATGTCGTAGAGCGCCAGGGTGTGCTATAAAGCGACATATATGTTATAAGATCTTTTAGATTAATCTTTTAAGTAGTCAAGGAAATTTCAATTTTTTGAATTTTCAAGATTCTTCTCATCTAAAGCCAGAAAAAAGTCCAAGTATTAATAGAAAATGATTTTGAAAATCTATCCAGAAGAACTTGAGGAAAGTGTACCTTTAGCACCAATAAGTTTTACAGTGCGAGGATAGAAATCCATGACTCTCCTTGATCAGGGCTCAACAAATGAAAAGGAAAATCTAAAAGATTGGAAATGTCTGTGAAATATTTCATTAAATTTCACAAAGTTGAGGGAAGAATGACAAATTTGAAGCATATATGGACTGCATTTTGCAATTTGGAACTATAAATTCTAGCTCTTCTGAAAAAACACGTATGTGCATAGGGAAACCAATGGTACATATGTTGTTTTTAGACCGGGCCAGAATTTATAGTTCCAAATTGCAAAATGCAGTCCATATATTTTTAGAGACTGGGTATGCAACACACTCTAAAAAGCACGAAATTGCCAAAAATATTTCCTTTTCATTGCGTCGTTTCAAAATTTCCGTCTAAAGTTTATTTTCCGAAGAGGAACCGGTCAATTTGATTACTTGAATTTCTTACAGTATATTCTACTAATAGATGCGAAAAATCAAGGAAGTTCTTAAAAACTTAAGTTGACTAGTTTTCCAAGGAAAAAATAAAGTAAGATTGGACGCCTGCAACGTTGCAACCGGAGATAGGATGTCGCGCACTTTCGCCAACGATATTTTTCTGAAATTTCGTGAATTTTTCACCCTGCCCTTGATTTAACATCCTTCAATGACCTACTCTACTCGGATTAACTATCCTCAATTAATTTTACGACCTCTTTGAAGATGTGCCATTCTGGATACTGCTTCCGGCTGCTTATTGGGTGAAAACAGGTTAATTGTTCTTTACCTGCTCATGATACGTGAAAACGGAAGAAATGTTCATCCCAAAGAACAGCAATAATTTTTCAAAATCTATTAAAAACATGTATTTGAATATTGAATATTATGTTTTAAAAATGTAGGACTTTTAGGCCTATTTGCGGTAATAGGGGGTCAATTTTTTGTACCTCATATGGGGCCCATCTGGTAACTCATTTCGATGATACGCATCCCCCTCTCAAAGTCGAAAATTTTGATCCATCCTAATCCTAATTGGACGTATTTCTGTCAAACGGAACTATGTGCAATATGACGTGAGCCCTGTTATGCATATAGTCTTATGGGTCTTAGGGCTCATGGCTTAATGCACATAGTTCCGTTTGACAGAAATACGTCGAATTCATATATGTGAAGATAGTAGTGAATCCCCCTCCCGCCAAAGTCCGTTACAAGTCGCAATAATCGTATGTGACACGCTACATCAAATAAAATTCAACGGTGGCGACCAATGTGGTACTTTGTCCGGTCGGAGCTAGGGGGAGGGAGGGGAGGGAGGGGAGGGTGGGTTCTGTTTTGCGGTTGGGCGGAAAATCAGCGTCGTGAAATACTTTCGGGACGGAGCTTTCAACTCCATTTAGCCAGAGACAAATTCAATCTTCTAGATTAAAAGGCTACGAGTGAGCCAGACTTTTGGGTGAGATTTCGTTAGCTGTAATTGTCTGCGGAACGAGTTCGGGGGACGGAAAGGGGGGCACGTGATAGCGAGCGGCGATGCCGGTTTTGGCGGGGATATTCCGGATTATCTCAACACGCGGCTGACAAAAGGGTGGAAATTCACTCTGAGATGAACTCGCGGAAACATTGAGTCATGTGGACGGCAGGATTCATCGCGGAATGTAGTTACGCCCTTAAACCAGGAATGCGACGATTAACGCATTTTTTAGGGGCATTTGAACGGCATTTTAGAGAATCTGCTTATCCACATCAAAATTTAAAGCATTTTTCCTTAAATTTTGATTTTTTTAATACAATTAAACGCAGCACAATGTTACCTTGAAATCGTGTGAGATCGAAAATGCTTAATATTCCTCAACCCTCGATGGCATAACGTAACGAATTCGTAAAAACGTATTTCTTCGGTTTTTAAAAATTGAATCTTCCTTCTGAGGTATAATTTTGCAAATTTTCATTAGTTTTTTCTCTTATTGAATAACTGATTCCCGAAAATTCAAAATTTTGAAGAGACACTTGGTGTTCTCTGTTTTCTAGTCCAGCAACTAAATAATTTAGTGTCCCTCAGAATCTGAGATCCAAAATTAATTCATGCCATAGCGGGATAGGATATTCATGTTATACAGGGTGTTCGAAAAGTCCCCTCCCCCCCCTCTAACTTTTGACCTAACTGAGGTAGAGATTTGAAACTTGGAGGGTGTTCTTAGATCAAAGGGAGCTACTTTTTGACCCCCTCAAAATTTTGGGGGGCCGCCCCTTGGGGGGGTTACGGACCCTAACTTTTTTTTTTAAATGGGAAGACCCCCTTTGTGATACCTCGTTCGAAAGAGCATAAAAAAAGAAAATTTTTCGCGCAATCCCGAAGTAATTATCTCAAACCGTTTCAAAATGGCGGCCGGTCAAAGTTCAAAATGACCGAAAATTGGCACCTCTGCTATTTGCGCATGGATTTGCTTGAAACTCGGTATCTGGGGGTATTTTGGCACGAGAAAAACGAATTTGACGTTAGATTTTTAAAAAAACCCTAATTTTTCAAAATGGCCGCCGGTTTAGGCTCGAAATTTTGACAAACTCGATTTTTTGCCGATGGATTCACCTGAAATTCGGTATCTGGGGGTATTTTGACCCGAGAAGAACGAATTCGACGTTAGATTTTTAAACAAACCCTCATTTTTCAAAATGGCCGCCGATTAAAGTTCAAAATTGTCAACAATTGGCAACCTCGACTTTTTGCCGATGGATTCCTGTTAAATTTCAAGCTTCAGCTTCAGGATTCTCAGCTTATCGTTTTCTCCCACCCAGATACCCTCAAACATCGAGTTTCAGGCGAATCCATCGGCAAAAAGTCGAGGTTGCCAATTTTTAACTTTAATCGGTGGCCATTTTGAAAAATGAGGGTTTGTTTAAAAATCTAACGTCGAATTCGTTCTTCTCGGGTCAAAATACCCCCAGATACCGAATTTCAGGTGAATCCATCGGCAAAAAATCGAGTTTGTCAAAATTTCGAGCCTAAACCGGCGGCCATTTTGAAAAATTAGGGTTTTTTTAAAAATCTAACGTCAAATTCGTTTTTCTCGTGCCAAAATACCCCCAGATACCGAGTTTCAAGCAAATCCATGCGCAAATAGCAGAGGTGCCAATTTTCGGTCATTTTGAACTTTGACCGGCCGCCATTTTGAAACGGTTTGAGATAATTACTTCGGGATTGCGCGAAAAATTTTCTTTTTTTATGCTCTTTCGAACGAGGTATCACAAAGGGGGTCTTCCCATTTGAAAAAAAAAAGTTAGGGTCCGTAACCCCCCCAAGGGGCGGCCCCCCAAAATTTTGAGGGGGTCAAAAAGTAGCTCCCTTTGATCTAAGAACACCCTC